GCACATGAGTGGTTGCTACGCTGACTAGGCGGTGCAGACAATCGATGTTCGATGAGTCAGCTTAATGCGACGTGTTTGTGCGTATGAGAAAGAAGACAAGCCTCGCGATCCAGTGAGTGACTGTGAGTTGAACAGTCAAGTATGCGGGTGACTGGGTCTCTACAGTCTCAACAGTTCTCCATGCAGTGACGCTTGTGTCAAGTGCTAATGTTCATGTGACCCCATTCGTGACAGAATACAATGCGCGGATTGGACAACTGGGGACCTGAGGTATACAGTCGAATTCCAGAATGCAGGCGTATTCGGTACGGAGCATATTACATATAATTCTCCATGCAGTTGCCTCAACCCACGCACATCGGAACTTGCGTTTTCAGGCCTTGTAACAGATTTATTTTCAACTGAGTGAAAACTGTGTGGACTGCGTTCACCGTGCTGTCAGTCGACATCAGAACGACCAGATGAAGCTCAGTCCTCCTGGGACAATCACTGTCAAAACTGACCGCCCGCCTGGAATGGGACTGGTCATGAATGGCCGATCGGATTTTGTGTTCAGACATATTCAACGTGAACTTTCTTTTTGGATCAATGTTTCTATAACGGAATACTATTAGCAGCTCTGGATGGTTAGGTGAAACCATACGCAAAAGTTTACTAACATCGAAGCTCGTTTCATTAAGTTTTCCTCACAATCGGTAGAACAACTAAAGACACAGCTGAGGGTGTATAAAGCTGTGCAATGAAATCATTAATTCGCTTGATTTTTACAGTTGATTATGTCCATTGTGGTTAGCTCAAACTGGGAGCCTACATATTCTAAACATTTCGATTGGAACAGACTTATTGTCAAGGGACAATCTAAAGATGTCAGGCCAGTAACAGTATTTCTGATAGAAAAATGACCTACAATCTGCCCGTCTGGTTTCACAAAAACGGGTCCAAATGAAACATACTATGAGCATTGATCCATTAACAACAGCTTGCGTCATTCTCACCATCAAGAGAAAGGAAGGAACAACAACAAAACAACAATACAGTTTCTTGTTGCACAAAAGCTATTCTCCAACATGTGAAAAAGACTCGTAGCATACTTGTGTTTTTCTACCAAGACAAAGTCAATAGCTGATCTGCATACGTGTGGTTTATATGTGACAGCTGTGGTGCTTGTCAGGAAATAAGTTTTGTAGATTGGTAAATTGTCTGTATGTGCTTGAAGAGCTGTCTTTTTTTCACCTAGAATAAACTGCAGTTGAGCCAGTCCAGAGAATCCAATTCAAGGAAAGAAAGACGCAGTTAGGCCTCATTGTACCGACGGACTGTATCAGGGTGGTGTAACACGAATGCTGAGTAAGGTCAATAGCTATCCTGCACACCGCTACTCATTCGTGTAAAGCAGAAATCGTAAGAGCTGTTATATTAATTGATAGTTTATCTTTAAGTCATCAGCCACAACAAGGAATGGCGTCACAACACAAAACTGCGGAACGACATGGTATCCGAGTTTCTATGTCGCAGGGTTGTGGGGTCCTTGGGTCTATCGTATGTGAACGTAACATAAACATAGTCCGATACAATGATCGGTAAATTTGCATGTGTTTATAGAGGAAACTACGCACAAGGTTGCTGGAAACTCGTCGACAGCCCACGACCGGTTTCGCCCTTCTTGGGGGTCATCAGGTAGACGCAGTCCACGAGTTTCTGTCAAACGTGCGTTCCATTTGAACCCGATCAGCTCTAAACAGGGCATAATCGGTCGTGGGCTGTCGAAGAGTTTTCAGCAACCTTGAAAGTAGTTTCCTCTATGAAAATCCTCAACTGTGTATCGGAAACGGAGGCTACTTGAATTATTTTGTGTGCATCCGAAATCCATTCAGGGAAAATGGTCGAGCTCGGGATTCAACTCCACCACCAACGGAACGAGCTGAAACAACGACATAGGGCGGACATATGGTCAAATTATTGGTGACTGACGTACACAACCGTCTTCGCAAAATGGGAGTCACGAACTTCGTCTTTCCTATGGAACCTGAAAAACTAGGGGAACTTGAAACTGCGACTGATCAACGAACCGGCGTAACTGGACGCCAAATTAGACAAGTTCACTAAAAGGAATAAACCCATTAACACTGAGGGATTGATCAAGAGCTTGTCTCGAAACAGATGAATCAGCTGAGTGAAATATAACGTCGTCGCATCAAGAATACTTGGTCAACTTAGAACATGATTTGAAAACGAGCTGGTTGTCGGGAAAGCTTCAATAATCAACGCCGAAAGCAACTGTTCAGGCGGTAATTCGCAATAAAGCCGTACGGGTAATCTCTAAGATGAGCAGGAGATACTCAGAAGTCGACGAGAAGGAAGTTGTATAATGCGATTGGCGTACGAGAGACACACGACAGTTATTCTGGATAAGTCGGACTACATCGAGAAGGCCAAAATGCTACTAACTGACACTATTACACACGGCCCAATAGATGACGTTTCAGGTTCGACACTGGTGTGCCAAGCCGAGAAGTCCACCAGCAGCTCATCCGTAGCTTTGCTTCAATTGCTCCGCTCGCTACCAGACACCTCAGTGTACAAATTGGCAGGATACTTTCGAAGAGGGTAGATTCACCTAATTTCTGCACCCGAAGAATCCTTGGGAATCACTCAGCAAACACTGAGAAATCAGGTTAGGAGACAACGAAATCATGGTATCATTCGACTTTGCTGCCCACTTCGCATCGGTCAATCGCAGAATTGTCAAAGTAACCATGATGGGACTACTAAAGAATCATGCAAACACCATAGTAACCTTGAAACCAGAAAGCGCGGATTAGGTAGGCAGGTATGCCATGTGATCATTAATATAATTAATATCAGGACGAATTCCGGAAGCCACAATGCAACAAATCACATTAGCACGGATCAAACAAGTGTATGAGATCCTATACGTGGACGGTATCAAACAAAACTCAGTGAAAAAGCCATTGAAGCTTCTCAGTAGCTGATTCGGGGATATCAAATTCACAGTCGAACGGAGGAACGACAAGGAGCATTAGATCACAGGGGTACTGACGTAACAAGATGAACATGCGTATATTACATGTAGACACCTTCAGACCAAATACTAACCTTTCAGAGCAATCACAAAGAAGGATATTGCAGGGCAACATAGCTGAAGAGGAAAAAAAGGGAACAAGTAATATCAAGTACTACGAAACAAACTCATCAGGAGAGGCATGAAGGAAAGTATATCCGTAACAACAGCAGCAACAACAGCAACAAGAGCAACGAAATAACGACAACCAAACCAACAGTGATCTACATCATATCTGGCAGCAAGAATACTGCGATCACATGAAATTTGACTGGCTCATTACCCGAGCGAAATCAAAACAATGTTACCTAACAGAGGACTGCAGAGAATGCACCAAGCGATGTGCTGGACTAACCAGAAGGAAAGTACCTACACGGATCAATACATAATAGGCGACCATAGAAAGACATGATGGTCCTTGATTTCCGTGCATGAAGATCACTTCAATATGAAGGGCATAAGGACTGTGTTGAGCTTAGGTAGCAAACACGCAGAAGAATTTCGGGATCGGTGCCACTTCATAACGAGACTAATCAACGGACACGTTTAACTGGACCCAACTATGTACCGCTACAAGTAGGAGATCACAAAATGAATCAACTAAGCAAAACGTGGCTGAACATCAGACAAATGGACAATTTGACAGGTGTGGGGGTTGGGCGAGAATAATATAGGTCAAAGGCCAGTCAGAAGATGAGTGAAAAATCCAACGAATATTGACACTTATCTCGACAACATCAGAATCAATGGTCACCCCCTTCAGAAGCACGTATTCAAACCCGCGCGCACCACCACAGAATATGGCTGCCACCGCTCTGCTCCACTTCGCGTCACAACCACAATCGGCGACGAAACTTCTGCAAACATACTGGCAAGCTCAGTGAACAGCTCGATCAGTAATCCCAGTCATGTCGAATGCAAGGCGAATAGGTCAACACTACTACCGTACCGTTGATCCACATATGATCCGGACAAATGAGTGCGTCCTTCCTGTTGCGAAGTGAATTCATCTTGAAAGACAATACTGCCGTGTTTGCATAAGCAAGATTAGTCACGAAAAGTGTCAGGAATGATCACGTGGAAGGTTGACAAATTTAACATTTATACCATACTGATTGTGTAACTTCGGTGTCAGAGCTGATGCCATCCGCTTTGGACATATTTAGATAGATCTTTTGTGACAGAGTTGCAAAGCGGTGGATTTATCGTTTGACTGATCAGTTTACGACCGTATATAACCTGAAAATTGTCTATAGGAATGCAAAAAAGCACCGGAGCAGAAGGCAGTTTCTGTCAAAATAGTTCCTCTATGAGAAACAGCTTAGAGGGATTTGGGAGAGTTTCTCGACGAGGTTGTTTAGATGTGGCGGGGTGAAACTAAGAGCTGGATAACATGAATTATACAGCGCGGTAATCAGATTTTACGTGCATTCGTGTGTTGTCCGACAGCTTATTTGAGGGAAGGCTAGAAGTATGGAAGGTTATCGGGACGGATAATTCAGATATAAACTAATATTTCGATTTAGAAGAGAGACAACTGCAAAAGACCAGACCCAAACAGTTGAGGGACAATTGATGAACCGCCTGAAGCACCTGAGGAATGAAGGTTTAATTTCTGGGGTCATATTCCAACGTCTTTGGCCTACCGGTGCTACAATTCCACAACTTTATGACCTGTCTAAGTTCATCAGAAGGATACAAAATTGTGACCTTCCATATTACGCAAGTGCCTAATGGTTGGCCGAGGTTTCAGAACTCCTATCCTAACTTTTATGTCAGTATCGTCTCCGTGATCCTTTTGAGTTTATGGAGCTGACAAAAACGTTGACATTAGTTCGCAATTTGTGCCATTTCGATGTAATCTCGTTTTACCAACGTTCCACTGATGGTTACATTGACCCATTAGAGTTGCGTTTGCAGAATCCGGTACTGTGCCGTCAAATAGGATTCGTACGAGGGCTGAGTTTGTCTTGGTCACGTGGCACGAATCAGTCGGTCCTCAGCTGTCCTCCGTCTCACGGCATCCATTTAAGTGCGATTTGGGGTGCGCTGACAACCAATCGTTCGTGTCTCCGCGTCTTCCAATTTATCAACCAATTTTGGCTGCTGGTTTCATTATTTACCGCTATTTTAACTAGTAGATATGCACTCACATGACGACAAGATCCCAAACACAGTTTGTTCGTCAGTTTTCCTCTCCAACCCGTCGGAATATTCAAGAGTCTCGTTGCTGAACAAAGCTATGTGATGGAAAGTGTTACCTGTGTTACCTGAATTTCGGACACTTCTGTTGTGCAGCCGAGGGATCATCTGACTGGGAAGGTTTAGTCTGTGTCCATTCCACCCCAATTACCGATTCGCATGAGTATATTAACTCACCTGCTTTCTGGAAGATATGTTGTGGAAACGTCTGAACAGCTATCGGGTAGACATGATAACTAGTCCTCGCGTACCACATACTACATGTGATCGACCTCTCCTTCAACTAATCGATGACGTTCGCACTGTTCCAAAGAATGGTCGGACTACATGACCCTGAACGAGGTCAAATGAACTTGGTAAACAATCGGTAGTTTTTATTTGGGCAACGTTTCGCTTGTGACACGAAAGCTTCATCAGGCCAAGTGAACGGGTCACCGAATTGGCCAGGTCATAAGACAGACGGGGAACCAATCAGTAAGTCCTCTTCAAACTAGATCAGTGTTGAGTGTCAATTAACGGCTCTTGTGGGTTAGTGTGGGTGCCAAAATCTTGAATTGATGGGTTGGAGGGGTTCCAAATTAGTTCCGATCGCTTTTCGTTCCTTAATCTTCCAGTTCAGGGTGCTTCACTTGATGATTCACCTCGGGTGCCGCTGTTAGATTTTCCCTGGTCTTTGTGGGGTTGTGAGTGCTCCGACAATTTAGTTTGAGGGGGGTTGAGGTCAAGTGGATTTCGGATGATAACCGCACACCAGCATGTGTCAGCTCGAGCGACCTAACACCGTTCTCCACACGTTAGCCAGTTGCACGCCTTCCATTCTGTTAATGCTGGGATGCTTGGCGATTTATACCGCCTCGGCGATCAGTCTGTGTGATGTGGACCCTAGTGGAGAACGGCGTTGGGTCGCTCGAGCTGACACATGCTGGTGTGCGGTTATCATCCGAAATCCACTTGACCTCAACCCCCCTCAAACTAAATTGTCGGAGCACTCACAACCCCACAAAGACCAGGGAAAATCTAACAGCGGCACCCGAGGCGAATCATCAGGTGAAGCACTCTGAAGTGGAAGATTAAGGAACGAAAAGCGATCGGAACTAATTTGGAACCCCTCCAACCCATCAATTCAAGATTTTGGCACCCACACTAACCCACAAGAGCCGTTAATTGACACTCAACACTGATCTAGTTTGAAGAGGACTTACTGATTGGTTCCCCGTCTGTCTTATAACCTGGCCAATTTTGTGACCTGTTCACTTGGCCTGATGAAACTTTTGTGCCAAAAGCGAAACGTTGCCCAAATAAAAACTACCGACTGTTTACCAAGTTTTTCTGAAACGATGACTTCTCAATCGGTTCCAAACTTTTTCCAATTGATTGAGGTCAAATGAATTTTGGTGACCTCAACCCAGTCCATGGGGTTTGAGGAGATGCAAAGGTGCGAAGACCCGAGTCATCGGAGCTCACATTGGAGTCGTGTGTTCATTGGAACAAATGAATCGCTGATTCAAATCTCACCGCTCGATAAGACGAGCAACGTGAGAATCACAAGTTTAGAACATATGACCTTACGTTAAGGAGCTGGAAGTGTTTTAAACTCTTACATGAGCCTCATACGTTTGGATTATGGGGCGAGATTGCTCAGTGGTTAGAGCACGGAAGTTCCGTGGTTCGAAACCGACCTCTGCCTCTCGACCTCCACTGACTAGGCTTGGACAACCTGGCAGTATTCCAACTCTCGAGCTTCATTTTGGTGGCATGGTAGCTAGGCACCGAAGGGGTGCTACAGCTGAACGATTATCTTTTGTCTTCCGTACTTTTGGATTTCCGGATGAACCCTACTTTTTAATCCGGCATATCACTTGGCACAAATGTCGAGGTATGTTGGCCAGAGAATGGTGTGAATTTCCTATTCTATTTAGTACTTGCAAACCTAGTAAAATGGTTTGTTCGCTTCGTTCGTCATTAAAGGCCTACCGAGTGTCCTTTATTCAGCAATACCTCAAGATAGTAGAAGGCCTGACTCGGTTGTCAGCTTACAGGATATGCACTTGCAAGATGTACACTATAAATCTTATTGGGCATATGCATTAATCCGTTTGTAACTAAACGAAAGTTTGATGGTCACACTACACAGCACTGTTGAGGATGCCGACTTGAACAGATCCCAATGATGGTCCTTGTATACATTCTGAATAAAGATTTTTGTGATACGACCGCGTTTTCTAGATGCTTAAGTATGTCCGTCACTCTTTGAAGGTGATTGTAAATCCAGCAAGACACGTGAAAAATAGATGTGAATTTGGTCTACCAGTATTTGCTTCACGGACAACTTCCGCTGATTTGTCTTAGTGCTGTAAACGCATCTTTTAAATCTCGTTAGACAGTAACTTACAAACATCTGCAAACATGTCGCGCCCTTACTTGCAGTTGCCTTATAAGATTAGACAAAACCGAATGTGTGTAACCCTGTTTCTTCTTAAAAATAGACCATTAAAAATTCTGAAAAGGTCAAACTTCTCAGTCTTGCTTTCATCTAAGTGGTCGATATTCGAGGGGGTTTGGGTCAGCCGGAAGCAGCTCAGGTAGCTTAGTCATCGATCGGATCATGTATGCAGACGCAACAAGAGATTTTGAAAGAAAGACATTTCTCGGAATGAACTGCTTTATGAGTTACAGACCATCCCACAACAGAAAGAAGGGCGCCCATTTTGACTAACCACATACATAAAATTATTCCCAATTTCAACCTGTCATTTTCCTTTCTGTTCACCTACAGCACTGAAACGTTTTCCAGTCCAAAATGATCTGTTCCAACCACTACCTAAATTCCACTTATTCTTGAGTTAAACAGTAGATGTCTTCCCCTTGTTGGCGTTTTTAGTTTGTCTTTTCCTTTCGTTCCATTTTTACCTCCACAGTTATTCCAATCACGGGGTCCAATAATCACGCTCCGGAAGGAAAGCAGGTTCAATTGGAAAGTGGGACCGCTGACCTCCAAAGTTCAGAGTAATGACACGATCCACATTACTCAGTTCATCAGAGGCACACGAGCTGCACTACGGGCAATCACAATGTTAAAGAGTCTACTCTATTTCCAGAATCGTTTCCATTCGAATACCTCCAACTGCGCACCTTTCGAGCCTTTCGGAAACAGCAGCTGCGCCGAAAAAATTCATCCACCACAGAACATAATACATATGCATTTGGTCTGCGATCGAAACCTGTGGACAATGCTCGAATCCCAGCTACAAAACTGCAGTCTTCCCTATTTGAAGTGTTCTTTCTACGACGTGGAGAGTTACGTTGTGAGTGACAGCTTCAGATGTAAAAAAGCAAGCGTTTTGTGTGGAGCGGAATTTTCCCATTGAAATTTCATCATGTATATGAATTCAATCTTTGTTGGAAAGCCAACAAATGTTGAACAGTCCTTTTCTAAACTTAATGGAGATCATCAGTACTACTGTATCTCACGAACCTACCGGGAGATTCAAACCACCAACCTATCGGTTAGTAGTTGGAAAATAAACTTTTCGGCTACCAGCGGTCGGTTAGTAGTGTGATTGCCTAGCACAGGATACAGCTCCACCTAACTTTCAATCACGAAATTCACACCACATGCTCACGTGCTGATTGCTCCCACCTAGACCGATCACTTTTCAGGTAAAAGGCCTACTCATCGCGAGATTTAGTCCTTCCTCTAAGTTGACTGTGTTTAGTGGTAGTGCAATTTTGCTCCCACTTAACCTTTAGTCTTCCTCTACCAGCCGGGATGAGTCCGAATCCACCCACTGAATGAGACGATTCGAGCTACCCATTATCACCAATAGGAATGAAAGTACTGTGCAGTGTTTTGGCTCTTCGAACAAGGTTCGCTTTTACTAACAGCATAGTAGATCGTAGGAGCTTGGTACAATCTGAACTAGGCACTTATCCTAATCAGACGACATCTACTTCCCAGATTAGTGCTTATCGATCATTTTTTCTACTTCATACGGAGGACTGTGCCAAAAATGCCATTCTCTCCCCGAAGGCATAATGAACTTGTTTGGATTAGTCTAACTTCAATTTGCGCCCAATTCTCTTTTCAAATTTTTGCAAACCACGTGTAACAAATTGGTGCTTATAGTGTTTATTATCCAATAAACTTACATTCTGCTCAGTGATTCTCTGATGCAAGGGAAACAGTTCACGTGACACCAAAAATTTGGGAAAATAGGACACGCAAACTTCTGATCAGCAGTTGTACAAAATATCTGTCAGAGAGGATTTGCATAACACTGGTCTGGTTTACTCCGACACAGTGTAAATCTACTTGTCTTTCAGTCACGTGAATCATGCCGCGTGCCCGTTAGGCTGACGAATGAGAACCTCTTCGGTGTGGGGCCTATAAGTCTCGTGAGACATTTTTTCTCCCGAAGCAAAGTACTTGTTTGTCGTATGGATGAATTTTGGAATTTCAGTAGTGATATCACGCGACAAATGATGCCCATCGTCGCTGTAGATTCGAGCGGCACTGCATAGCAGCTTCAATCTTGTTGTGGCTCATAAGCGATGCACATTTCATCTGGAATTCGAACAAAGCTTTTGCTGAACGTCGGTAACCAATTGATGATCAAACTGTTAGTGGTCCACGTGTTCATGACCACATTGGATTTGACCACTAGTTGGTAGAATAAGGACAAGCAAAATTGGTCTGACCTTAAAAACTGAACCTCAAATGCACACATTGAAAGGGGTGTTTGAACTCTTCTTGGATTTGCGCCCCTTTGGAGATTCTCTACGCCAAGTCACGATCAATGAAGAGGGTTACTGAGAAGTGTCTACTGGGATCTGTGGTGTCAACCGAAATATGCTGTAAAACCCCATCGCCACCACCTAAGTGAAGCTCCCTCACAAAACAGACGAACTAATAGCTTTGTTCAGGGCGGCCTCTTTTAGTGTGCACCACTAAAAATTGTACTGAATTTACCTGGTAGTCATCAGTTTTGAAACCCTATTCAGGGTGAGCTTTGCGATTAACCGAGTTGCAAAATTGGCAGCTTGCGTGCGCAAATAGGCGTAAGATAGCTCCGATTTGTGACGAATAGAAGCTAAACTGGCACCTTTGTAATGTACTCCTCATAAGGTTGCTGAAAATCCGTCGACAGCCCAGGACCAGTTTCGCCCTTTTTGGGGCTCATCAGGAAGGCGCAGTCGCCGGGGTTCCGTCAACCTGATGTTCTACTTGAAACCAAATTGCACGGAATCAACGAATATACGCTCATTTTCAAACTAATTTGGTTTTTCGAGAGACTCACCTGGAACCCAGCTGAATCTCTCGTTTGTGATTTCCACGGGACATCCTTGTAGATAAGTTTAAATTCTAGGTTAAGCTTGGAATTTCCCTATGAAGAATAGCCGAGAGCAGTGTCTCGTGGACCAAATAGGAGCAAATTGATGCCTATGAACTTCTGAACATGGGTAAATGACGAATAAATGTTTTTAGTATGAATGCGAATCAGATGGTTTTCATTAAAAGCCTGAAAACTGCCAGGCTATGTGCTCCAAATCGCAGTCGAGTTTTGTGATAAATATGTGATCTGATAGCAAGCGTTCAGTCTTCCGAAGAATTCAATGCAATAATGGAGATTTCAACCTGCAGGTGAAACCAGTTCGTGCCGAAAAGCAGAGGGTCACTACACAGTCATCCTTATTGGAAGTCGTCAGCAGCGTGCATCTGACAAAACTCAAGGGAGCTTCACACTGCTGGCTTTTTCCAACTGAAATGGATGCACACTGACTCTCGGTTTTTCACCGCAGATTAGCTTTACACACGCGAAGAAATCTCCATTAAACTTCTCAGATTCCCTCAAGCTACTGATCTCAGCGTTTCTTCTAACTCAAGCATCCAGTACTCAAGTCGACGCATTGTAAGCTTTCTATTCTGTAACGTATTTGTTTCTTTTTTTACGTCAACTACAACCAGAATTTCGCGCAGCGCATTCCAAATGGACATATTACGGGACCAACTCCAGTCGCCAAGCTCTGGATCCCTTACATTCTGCCACCCTGGGTGATAAAAGTGAGTATTTCGCGTTCAATAAAAGCGCCTCAGGACACAGTCGGGTCTTAAGTTGAGTGCAATGTTTAACAAATGGTCGAGCGTTTTTAGACTGCAAACTACAATAGGTAATTCATTATTTACGAGCTGCAACCCATGACAACCGATCGAGTGCATGGTTAAGTCGAAACAACGTCAGTTTCGGTAGCCCATTACTGCTCTATCAACCATGTGCATCCATTCAGCGTGGTTAGCGTGACAGCTTTTCGGGTGTCCACTAACTACAGTTCAGTGACCCACTCTTGTTCAATCTAGGCAATACGAACCGGGCTAGATGTCCACATTGCACGGCAAAGAGACGGTCATAGATATGTAGAGGGGCTAAACAAATGACTACCATTGTATTCGGTTTTAAGGCCTTTAAATTTGACATCTAAGAATTTGAATTTAATTCGCTTAGAGGCTTGACGTGAATCAGTCAATTGTACATCTTAGAACAACGTGTTCATGGTTGCCTTATTGAAAGCGAAGATCGAAGCCATTAAAAAACCAGGAGCACTTTAGGAGCACTCGATCAAAACTAGGTTAACGATCCGAACACATTAAAAATCATGTAAATGGTCTCATCCGTTGCCCGTTTTTCGGCTACAGACAATCGTGCCTGATTCTGACATGCTTTGGAATGAGAACCCACTGATGCTATGGAAAATCTTTGAGCAATTCAACCCAACACAGGTAAGTCTTGTACTACAGGTGATGACCAAATGATTTTGTTTGACTATGCTCGATGTGTACGTAACCCCCCAGCGGAAAGAATTTGCAAGAAGATGGACAACCAATCGTCAAGACTACCGGATTAGCTACGAACTGGCTCAGAGAATCGGACCTTTCGTTAGCAATGGGTAATCGATTATGCCCGTACAACAAGAATTGAGACTGAAACTACTGTCAGAAGACTACAACAAGTGGCTTGATGTAGTGTACTAAGGGAACTAATGCAAAGTTTAGAGGGTAATCCGGACCCTTCGGGTTGTGTGGAAGCTTTCAAGGGCCGCACCACCTCAAGGGCCTGGAACTAACTGCGTTCGGATTAGTTTTACATAAGTCAACGAAAGGAATATTTTCACTACAAATGGAAATGGGTTGCGAACAAATCTCTGTGTCGCACAGGTTACAGGGACTTTCTTTGAGAGGAAACCAAGAAGTCAAAAAAGGAAGATATTCCGGTTCGCTGTACTTCGACGAGATAAACAAGACTTCAGATATGGATGGTTTTCAACATTTGTTCTTAGAATGTTGAATTTCTGCATTTGAGGCGCACTGCCGAAGCACGTTCTACCTCAGAATCACTACTGTGTTGCGCCCCCATGTTGATGGGGCTAGTTTTGTCATTTTGGCTCACTGCGGCATTCCCCCTGTAGGGATATATCTAAATAGCTGTGGTCGTCCCCAGCACCAAAATCTTGGGGAGTGGCTGTAACGTCTCAGACACTAATCTGACAAGTGTTTTACAGGGCTGGCTGACACCAAGCAGGAATCTTTACCATTAGAAGTGATCAGATACGCTAAGATGGTCCGGCATTTTCACGAACCGTCGCGTGCTGTTGGCAACTAAAGTGATCCCAGCGATGGACAGGTCCTCTGTGAAGGTAGACTGGAAGAGCCCTGCAAAGAATTTATCCACAAAATGAGTTTCTGCGGTGTTACATTACTTCGCTTGACCTGATTGTGAACTATGTAGCGCGTTCCATACAAAAGTTTGAGCTTGGCATGCCTTCTTATCCGGTGGTGATCAAGCAAAACATCCATAACGGAAACGGCCAAGCCAAATACAACGTAGCAGTCGACGCTGCACGAGAACCACAGAAGATTTTTGCGTATTAAGAAGTTTCTATTAACATGTTGTACTGCAAGATAAAAAATTAAATGTGTTAGAAGATGACCTGCCGGAAATCACCCTCGCAGAAACGTTTGTGTCCACAGTTACGGCCGATGAGTCATCGATACACATAAAGGTGGAGACGGTTGACCCTCAGGCCTACATCAAAGCGGAAGTTCCTAATTCATTGCAGCAGTAAACCGCATGCAAAGTGTCACGTCCATGTGAAATTCCACCACCGATTCCCAACGGCCTTGCTACTGTTTTCGCAGCTTCCGCGCTTTGTCGGTCATGCACTCACTTCGGAACGACATTGATCCCCGGGACCGGAAGTCTGTGATAACCAATTTGTTTTGTGGGATCAGAGAGCAACACAATCTTACCAGCTATGGACCATTCACACTTCCGTTGATAATGAAATGACTGATGGATAGGTGGGTGAAATGCGTAATAATTGCGTACCTCTACATAATTAAGATCGTATAGGTCAAACATTTATATAGACGCATCCCTGTGCCGGGACGGTGGTCACTAATATTGTACGCACAGCAGACTGCGGTATCTATTGAAGTTCACGCTACAGGTTTGGACAAAATATTTGCTCTGATCAAGCGCTCGACATGTCTCCGTAACCCAGTGGAATAGATGCTTGCAGCAATATTGATTTCTTGATTGGGAATGTTTTTGTTTGTCTGGGATTCCAGTTCAAGGTGTGCTGTTTGTCCTGAGGATATTTCAGCGCAATGAGCAGAATTCTTCAAGTCTCGTTCCTAGGACTAGTACTGTTCATTATCTATGACAATCGTACCACGTGGTTATGGGACTACACATGTTTTTTGTTTGCTGACGACTTGAAATCTAAGGACTGTGAATGAGCATGTCTCCAGAACATCTGGATGGACTTACTTACCTTGTTTTGTAAACCATACGGTGGAATCCAAACTTAGCGGGCATTTTCGGTATAATCTTACCACACATAATGGGTTTAGACTTATATGCCCCGAGGAATAGTTTACAAAAAGCTTCCGCAACTTTCACGAGAGTAACTACTCACAAGGTTGCTGAAAACCATTTGACAGCCTACGCCCGGCTTCGCACTTTTTTGGGTTCACCAAAGTACATATTCCAAAGGGAAATTACTCACAATGTTGCTGAGAACTGTACAAAATTCCACTTCAACTGCCACTGCCGAAACCTGCCATAGGCTGTCGAAGAGCTTTCAGTATCCTTGTGAGTAATTTTCCTAATGAAAACATACTGCGGTATGTCGAATATCGTACCAACAGAAACCTGAGACAGCCTTTGTGCAGGATACTCAGTTGAAATTTTCCTAATGAAACATACTGCGGTATGTCGAATATCGTACCAACAGAAACCTGAGACAGCCTTTGTGCAGGATACTCAGTTGAAGAATATCATAAACCAAGTCGATAGGCAAATGGATGTCTTTGTCAAAGTATCCCGTAGCTTGTTGAACGCTGTGTGAATGGTAACTTATCCACTAAACTTTTGGACAGCATAGCTAAATGCGGTGATAGATCTTAAAAAAAATTTGAATAATCTGAAGGTTAACTTTATCCTATCGGGTATCACAGCCATGTGTAATACAGTGTAACAGCGTAATCGATGTTACACCTGAAGAATGCCAACTACGGTTAGAGATGCCCACCATGAGGCAGTCAATCGGAGGTGTTCAGCCTGACAAGCAATGCGGGCTGCAGAAAAATATCAAGTGGAAATTCTTCCTTTCGGAAAGGAATATTTTGATGAAGAAATCAGAAACTTGGTTTATGACCACTCACACAGATGAGGAACGGTCATCGACAACCAACCACTTGTCTCGTTCTTCTTGAAGCTTATCAGGTAGGTGACATGGAACTAATTGCCGTTCCTTAAGACCCAGTGACAAATTGTAAGCTGTATTTCCCCAGCTCCATTCGAAGAGAAAACTTCCCTTGTGTCTCGGATCGCACTAAACAAGTGTAGTTATAGCTACCGTTGGCCACCAGAAAAAAGTAGTGTTTTAGTCTGATGTAACTTACAAGTTTGAGATCCAAACTTTTTCTGACACTTTTGCACGACCTTACTGAATCATATTTACAGTTTGAAGTTTATTATGACCGTAACATGTATTCAATTGACTGCTTGACAGATGATAGAACTTGCCTGGGAGCAACAGTCCTATGATCCACTGTGCAGTGAAGATCAAATAAAACCCCTCCCAGTAAGTCTTGTATTGTTCTATGGCCTTAACCGCTGTTATGTGAAGATGCTATTTTTGGATGCCGGTGTCTGGTTGGACTGATTTAGATGATGAGTTTGAAGCTACGACCTGCATTAATGAAGTGAGCGAGGTTTCAAAGCCCCATATGAGCTGTCCTGATGCAAAAAACAGCGAAGTATTTTGTGATTGTAGAAGGCTATACACATTGGGTCATCAGAATTGTTTGATACTTCGCTTGGCAGTGGAGAGCTTTCCTCCCTTCACCGTGAGAACACGTGACCAAACGGTATGGCCCTTAAAGTCTAGCCGGAAAGTTACGAGTTCGTGAGATGCACAGTACTGATGATGATTCCCTCCGTCACGAAGAGACTGGACCTCACCGTGGTACGACGGTTTGTGTAACTTGGCGAAACATTGAGGTATACTGAGGGGTGTCCGTGTGACACTCACAGTGTCTCTCATATCAGGTTGGTCAACGGTTACAGGTCTGAACAACACAGTCTCCCGATCCTCCAGGTTGGGAGTTGGAACACATGTGGCGACTTGTTCCGTAAAAATGATAATGTACTTGCTTTTCCCGCCAAGCACCGCTGCGTTGTGGTCGGGCGTTTGAGCCAAAGGCTTTGGTTGAGGACTCTAATCGTCCTTCTGTCTAGGTGTGGGCGATCTATCAATATACCAGCCCACGTACATCCATTAACTGCATACATACAGAAACTTTTTCCACATTGGCCGTCGCGGGGTGCTATCAGCCGGGTCGCCGTAAATGGGGCGGGTAAGCGAAAACATGCTAATGCTAACGACTTCCTCGTTTCTCTTCCACATACTTTCTCCTCTCCCGTCTTCTCACCTCATTATTAACTCTCTCCTTGTGGGCCCAGTACTTAGGACCGATGACTGTGTTCGTTTTGCATCGGTTCTGTGTGCAACATCTGCTCATCACATGGCGCCAACAACCTCGGGCATCTCGAAATCAATCTTCAAGCCTCGGCGCCCGGTCTATCTAGCCACCTTCAATGTCCGCACTCTCAAGAGAGCAGGACAACAAGCTGCTCTTGCACTCACACTGGACTCGTTTGGCATTGATGTGTGCTGTGTCTCAGAAACAAGAGTTCAAGATGTAAGCACAGCGACTGAGCTAACCGCCCCATCACTCCCCACTAGTTTCCGGCTGCGCACGTCTGGCGATCAATAGGCTGCTGCGCCCGGATGTTCAGATGTTGATATTGCCATAAGTCACTGGGCGAATGGGTCTTTCTTGACTAGATACCTGTTCATCGTCGCCTCCGTGCAGTTTGTCTGGCAGTTTGTCTGGCGTATCACAAGCGGGAAATTGGTCGATGTCTGTTTGTCGCGTGTGCTTACTCGCCAGTAACTGTGTCTCTGAAACCATCAAAGACAAGTTTTTAGACGTCCAGAACGCCATGTTGCGGCGAGCTAAACATTCAGATATTGTTATGGTTGCCGGAGATCTGAATGCACAAGTGGGTTACCTTAGCGCGTCTGAGACTCAGTTGGTTGGCCGAAATTGACTGAACCTGGTAGATACGGTAGGGTACGGTACGTACGTACTCGGTACGGTGTGTGCTATGTGCTCACCGTAGGCTGCTTTTATGCAGTACTAACTTCCGATGTCCGGCGTGCCTGCTACGAAATCAAACTGAACACATTCAAACAAGTTGCCGATGCTAAGTATCAGTAACTGATTATTACTCGACCTGAAACATATTGAACACATTCAAGTTGCCGATGCTAAGTATCAGTAACTGATTATTACTCGACCTGAAACATATTCGTTGCCTTCGACCACTCGCTCTTCCTTCCCTTCTCCAGGGCCACGTAAGGTTCGGAAAAATCGAATGGCAACTAAGGGACTGGCAGATCCGGATGTCAGAGGAATTTAAGAGAAGCGTCTCCCAAAGCCACTTCTAACCGCTCCACCATCAGATGTGAATTCATACTGGACAAGAACCCCACCTCTTTGCACAGTGCTGGGAGCTTTGCAAGTGGCATGACGCTACCAGGCTCACTCAAGCACTGGATATCGTAACGAACAGTGACACTGCTTAGATCGCGGAGAACTATCCAGAACATAACTCAACCCGATGAATTATCAAACACCAAGTGAAAGCGAGCGTGCAAACTGACCGTGAAATCTGGTGGACGCGGAAACCCATGGAAAGCACCTGACATAGAGCCCTGGGCAGTATACGTGGAACACCATAAGGCTTCGGAGGTTAATGACTGCATGTGTTCTTTCAAGCGCACCAAGCTGCTGGGCCGCATTATTAAAAAATTGAAGTGGAGTCCTCAGTTAGCGTTTGCCTGATCTGTTTGCCTGTATTTTGTAAAAAGAGACTGTACCAGACAACTTGGGAGGGTCAGTGACAGTGCCCATCTTCCAAAACGGGCTCATAGTGAGTGTGGCAACCGGGAGGGGGTCTCAGCTTGACTTCGAGATTGTTAGCGACACTTGTACTTCCTTGATTTATGGTGGCTCGTGAAACACTGAATCCAAAGTAGCAAGCAGGATTCCTGTCTGGTAGGGGTTGTTTTGACCAAAACTTTACACCCA